CAGCCCAGAACTAATATCAGCGTTGTGTAAACATAGTGCGCCAAAATTGCTGAGATTGCGCCTGGGGCGATACTTTTGCAAGTAAGTGTAGTGTACAGAAGATGGGAACGTAGACGAAATGGCTTCTTGGTTTTTCCTACGCTTGAATTTTTAAGGTCCAATGGCCGTGAGTTACTGAGTTCTACTTTGAATGTTAGTACTTACTTGGGTTTTTTGTGCATCTAGCGCACAAGCTTTTCGGTCCCTGAATTTGTGTTTGGAAGCTTCTATTCAGAATGAAGATGAAAATAATGCTAGATGAATGGAATCTGAATAACTGCCTCGATGGCCGAGTGGCTCGCAAGTGCTTGCGTGGGTCTCGGGTTCGATTCCCGGGCCCGGCAAAGTATTACTGAGTTTTAAAAAAAAATCTCAGTAGTAGCACGGAGTCTAGAAATGTGCCCGGTATATAGCAGTAGACTCACCCCCTATTAAATGGGACTCATAAAATAAATAGTGAAAAGTGGGTGTTATTTCTGTGTGGACCTCTGCCTACCCCTTCGGGAATAGAAGGCGTGATGGTATGTGAGATGTTATGAATGGAATCTTCAGTTCGGTTTTAGAACGTATAGGTATAATATATATATATGACGGTGTTAAAAGATATGCCTCATATTACAGAGATATTCTTTAAAATTTTAATAAAATGCTCCTGTATCATTAATAGCATTAACAAATATCAAGTACCTATTAAGATTCTGTTTGTTCCAATTGTGAGTTCACCTTAAATAGGTCTCTGTTAATGGGAAATTTGTACTTATGTTTTGTATTTAGACTTATAACTATTTTCTTGTGCATTATATTGTGTTAGCTTTTATTTGATTGTAACACTAGCAAATGCATATTGTAAACCGATTTGTTATAATAAGATGCGTAAACAGTCGTTAGCTGACCCTAAATAAATAAAAAAAAATATCCTAACTAAATATATAGAATACTAGCAGCCCGTCCCGGCTTCGCACGGGGTAGACAATTATTTATTTTTGAAAATTTGGATTGTTGTAGTGACATAACTACAATAGTTGGACATATGCTACCGCGGAGTTTTTTGTAGACATTATGTTGTTCTTCAATATTGTTGTACATTATTTTGTCCTATCGCTAATAGTTTTGGCAGCGCATTCGACGAAAGACATTTTAAGACTCATTTTTCTACACCTTCGGTTACATTGTTTAAATTTTACCAAGGATCCCTAATTTTTTTCGAAATGAAATGTAGCCTATATCAAATTGGAAGACGGTACCATTCTATTGGTAAAACAATTTTTTAAATCGGCCCAGTACTTTTTGAGCCTATTCATTACAAGCATACAAACATACAAAAATAGGTACAAATCTTTCCTCTTTATAATATTGTTGTAATAAGGTAAATATTATAATCTTAAGTTAAATAATATAAGTAGCGCCATCTAGTGTCAAGTTGGCGAGTTTCTCATAGACGTCGATATGTCATCTGTGTTCTTCCTTTTGTCGTCTGCATGGCGCCCATCGTGTGCTTTATAATAAAACTACGAAATGTAACAAGCTATTATCTATTATTCAACCACATCCACCACTTCAACAAATATTAGTATAGATATTATAGAATTTTTCCAACTGTCCCAAAAATAATCATTACCAAAGTCGAAGAAATTAGCGAAACGGTAACAAAATGTTCCCCATTTAGAATTACCACAGAATTATTCTTAATTAAACTTCTGTAAGGGGATAAACGTTATGCAATCCTCTTCTTACTACCAACTTTTAAATGTAAAATGGTTTTGTCGTATAAATTCGTTTTACGATCTTCAAGAGTTATAAGAATTACGAAACACTGAGTGATGTGGGCGACATTCTTTGGAAATGGAGTGAAATTGCATTCTAAGGCCGTTCTGAAGTAATTTTTGAAATTAGCTTTTAATATAATCGTTTGAATACGAGTACCGATGTAGGTAACTGATGTTCTTGGGCGCTCATCACTCTCTATCTTATACTTATTATATAAAGCTGAAGACAATGTTCTTTATTGGTTTATTTTATAATATAACTTCACGCTTTTTATCCCCGAAGGGATGAGCAGAGGTGCACATTACGGCCACTGTACAAAATAACACCCACTTTTCACTATTGATGTTATGGGTCCCATCTAAGAGGGCGTAAGCCTATTGCCATATACCGGGCACATTTCCAGACTCCGTGCTATTACTGAGAATTTTGTGAAAAATCCCAGTAATACTTTGCCTGACCCGGGAATTGAACCCGAGACCCCTACTCGGCCAACGAGGCATTCTGCTCGAGTCAGTATTAGTTTATTTGATCTCACTAATCTCCGAAACCACTGATTTCAATAATTATTTTTGTGTTTGATAATGCGTTTATCGTCTCACGCTACGACTTATAGGACTAGAGCGAATGAAACCTCGCGGAAGTGTCTAAGATTTATATAGATACAGAGTAGATGCCCACTTTCCATCAGATTATCAATTTATATTCAACAATCATGATTAAACTGTCAAACACCAAGCGGTCACCGGTGACCGCAACCTATTGTTCTATAATTGTGTCTACAAAACCGGTACTCGACGAGTTAAATTCATTGGTAATTTCCAGTAAGACGGTTATTATACGTGCCATCATTATGTTGTACCCTTTCCTTTAAGGTTATTCACCCCATGAAGTGTCAATATTCTTCAATGGAAAAGTTTAGCACTACATTTTGATAGATGAACCAAATGACCTTGAACTATGTATAAGGTCAAGTTTAGTGTTTGTTAAGTTGTAATATTATATACGTTGTATATTTGGCAGTGGACCTATATCAGCTCTGTGGAATAACTTTTCCTCCTGGTCAATGACAAGGACCAATTCTAAAAGCTGATGGCCAACCTTCAGTAATGAAATGGTACCATAAGACGAGAGGACGAGAATGTAATGTTTATCTTTAAAACTGATAGTTTGTGTTTTCTTTGGAACTGTTCGTGTGCCCTAAGAAGGCCATAAGAAGAGAATACAGAAGTTTCTGAAAGAAATGGAGGTACTTGATGAAAATATTGACCCATTGTTTTATTTTTTTTATTATTAAAAAAGGTTGCCCCACATTAGGATTTTCTCCTGTGTCGTGGGTGCGTTTACAAACATACAATTTCACATACACAATGACACCCAGACCCGAAACAACAATTTGTGGATCACACAAAGTGTTGTTCCTTGCGGGAATCGAACCCGCGACACGTTGCACGGGAGCCGGTTGCCCAGCCACCGCACCAATCGTGCAGTTTTAATACTTGAACTAGTAGAACAAACCGCATATGAGTATTACGATAGTTCAGTGACCTAGAAACAAAAAAAAAACAAAAACTTCTCATTCCGTAGAATAACAGAGCAAGTCTCATAATAATTCCAGAATCAAATGAGTTACATCAGAGTCAGGTCATCATGTGGTGATGAAGTACGTCCGTTAATAACATGTTCGAGTCCCCAGCGGCATTGTACCCGACAACTAACCACTACCATTGGTTTATTACTACTCATAATTGTGAAAAACAATATAGTTTACATAGATCCAATAGAATAGTATAGTTTTCCATGGGCAAGAAGTAATTTTCTGAATTAGGTGTCTTAAAACTATTTAGATAAGAATGATTTTGCTAATGAAAAGTGTGACTGCCAAGCGATAAGCTTTTCTATATTTGGAAAGTGTATTATTAATTACTATGGTTTTCGGCGCACTCACGTAACTGTTTGAAGAGGTTTTCGACTAGTTTCCAGCGATACCCTCTAGGTCATATTATTATGAGCAACATTCTGAGACAGTCGCAGCGTCATGTGTCGCGGAATGCTACAATGCAATGTGCACTTCTACGTGCCTGTTTGTTAGTCTACTTAGGTAGTAATCGATGTTATTAAAAACTAGAACCGTTTAGGTTCTTCGAGAAAGGAGTAAATAGGTTTATCAAGGGTCGGCAATGCGCATGTAATGCCTCATGAGGCAATACATGTATTGCACGCGTTCATAGGCCACTTCCCACTTACAATCAGTGCGGTGTCCGTGCTTTGCAGCCGTTGTGATATAAAAAAAAATTATAAACCTTCGAAACAAGCACTAAACAGTTTGACATTCTTAGTAGTAGCCTCTGAATCAGCTCATACAAAACGAGTTAATATTTTATGTGGCGCGTGAATAGTCGGTTTTGCGATCGTCTCGAGACCACTTTAGATGAAGGATCGATTATTTATCGAAGCTTTAGAAATGATTGAGACTAACTTAGTCTAAGACCTGTTAGGCCTTGCAAGTTGTATAGGGTATTAATATTTGAACTTGTGTAGTTTCTAGAACAATGTTGTATTGCTGGTAAATAATTTATTGTGGTCGTTATTAGGCTACTGAACGTGTAAAATTTTGAAGAGATGGGAACAGGTATATGTTCAGTATAGCTATTTTTCGTAAGCCCTGTTAATCTAGACGTTGTAATATGTTTGACCAAGAAAGCAAATACTCAGTAATACATAATTATTCGGATATTTACTAGAGGTATATAGTGAGTAATAATATCAATTGTAATATCTAATATCAATGTCAGTGCCGCTCAGGGACAAGATATTAGTTAGATTCATTTTGAACAGATAAAATACTTTTTGGAATCATTTCTGATATCAAAGTAATCAAAAAGTAATAAGTAAACTTCATTGTGACATTAACAACATTGAACTTTAAAAGAAACTATAAAGTGTAAATTAGTTGGGATATTTTGATAGTGTTCAATTTCCTGAATACCAAAATAAATACTTTAACTAGGATTTACAGTGCCCAGTGATATTGAATTACTCACTAATACGAATTCTAGCATCTATGACAGTTACAAAACATTTTATGAATAGTTTAGCACTCTGTGACAGGATATTTTTTAATAGTGAGAGGCCTCTTCAGAGAGTCAACCATTTCAACTGAGTGCATTCATAACCATAATACGTATAAAAAAATCATGGCCGCTGTGGAAACTGGAGGTGGAGAACAATTTGATTTTGATACCAGCAGTCTTTTATCTTTAACTACAGGAGTGAAATATGAAGACCCAAGGTTTCATCTAAATTTAGTTCAGAAGGTAACTGTACAGTTTATTCGTCATGAAAACTCTACGACGCCTTTTTTATGCCACGACTGTGACAAGAAAAGCACACGGCCCACCTGATGGTAAGCGGTTACCGTGGCCTATGAACGCTTGCAACACTTGGGGTATTTATTACATGTGCTTTGCCGAATGGTACCTGGTACTTCGTCTGTCATGGAATTCTCAACTTACCAGTACCTGTGTAATCCATTTTCTATACGTTTATACTACAAGTATGTCACTGCGTTCTTATGTGACTGCATGCCTCAAAATCTTCAACGACCAGTAGCCGTACTGCTAAACTATATGAGCCTCCTCTATATTAGGGAGTTTGCCATCTTCATGCTTAGCAAGCGACAGATCCTAAGCAAAAATAGGCAAAACTTAGTTATTTTGGCATACATTTCTTCTTCTTAATAATTTCGTCAAGGGGCGTACCGTAGTAGACCCGATCGAAACATTACCTGAATAACAAAGCATAAAAAATATCGATTTCGAGTCGATAACTTATATCCGCAAAATTCGGAATACGGAGATTATTTCGTTTTATTAATTCATTTTAATGACACTGACAGACAAACCGCAGTCGCCATCTTGAGTAGACAATAAACGTTCCGTTTCATATTAGCTCTCAAACACGCCTCGCCAATCGACACGTTGCCGCGTCAAAAAATTATAAATTAACAGGAAATATGAATAATTTCACGAGAACGATGTCACGGGTAACAGCTAGTTACTTCGTAAAATAAAGACCAGAGATTACATAATGTATTTGAAGATAATTAACATGTTATCTAATCCCCAGAAAGAATTTCCTTCGGAACGTCCAATCATACCTTCAACAAAATTTGAGAGGCTGACTTTCTTTAGAGGGTACACGTCATCGCAGTCCAAAACAGAGATAGTTGCTTCTCACCATGTTGAGTTAAATAGGTAATTAATATTACGATGCATTATTTATAAATCTTTCAAAATTTAGAAAAAATGTTATTATTTATAGAGATGTATAATGGTCCCTTGAATTTAGCGTGACTGTATTCTTAATTCATTTTAAACTACTTTTAGTCAGTAAATCGGAATTTATGTAATTGAATTACGTGTCATAGTAGCACTATCATGATAACCATTTTTCAAAGTTCTTGGGAATAGCTTGAAGTCTGGACTTGTGCATAATACATTATTATTGCCTCAGCCCCCATTATTATAGATTCTATAACATTATTGATAAACATTCTAGTGTTACATTTAACAGGTAACTGCATGAAAAGCATTTTTTTACAGTTTTCTTTGGTTTTACGCCTTCAACGTGTTCTTCAAGAGCTTACCTCATGGATTCGTTCACTTTTTCCTTGCATCCTATGCACCGGAGGAGCACAGTTTTATCGCTAAAATGGTGCCATTCTCCATAGGTATGTAAAATGTTATTGTTTTGTATCTAAGCGGGGGTAGGAACGGGGTGGTTTTTAGTCAGTAATGAGTCTAGTCTAATACTCTTTCTCGTCTCACCCAAGGCGGGAGAAAACATTGCATGACCCCCCCAAATTAATTTGTTTCAATCCAAACCTATGTATATAGATTGTAAAATGACTTGGGTTAAATTCGGAATACATGTCGTTGGGTAAATGAGAATAACCTTGAGTGCAACTGGCGAATAAAATGTTTCGGATTTAATAAGGTTGGGTTGCAAGCTAAAGGTTTTTGATTTTTCTTTATTTTAAATTTATTGCATGGGACTTAAAATATAACTAGTGAAAAGTAGGTCTCCTTTGTCTTCAGGGATTGAAAAGAAAATACACGAGTATAACGTTTTCTTCATTAAATTAATTATGTTACAGGTTTAAAGTATTTGTTCATTATAACTGGATTCTTGGAACTCATGCTGGCTGTAGACGTACTGGTTTTGATGTTTCACTACACTACTTTCGGGATTATTGCGAAAAATCCATGGAACAGGTATCTACAAGTCATTATTTTGGTCAATATTATCCTTCGAAAAATTGATGTAAGTAGTGGTTGAAAGACTGGTAAAGTTGTCACTTCAAAATCATTCCATTGGTAGGCTCAAAGTTTGGAACTCATCAATTTGTATTTGTATTGATTTTGAACTCTCTCCTCTCTCTGATAGCTTTTCATGAGACTAATAATTGGTAAATAGTGGGTTGGATACTTCTATTTTCTCTTTCAGTGGTTTAAAAGTTCTGATATGTTGTAATGTTATGTCGTAATTTTCAGATGCTTGAATGCCACATATATTGATCCACGAACGTCTCTAAGAGTGTATTGCTATGAAATTAAAGATTTTACTCAGAAGTTTGTAAATAAAACTCATAAATATTCCGGATATTACTTTGTTGACTCGGACACAAGTGAATATTTTCAAGTAGCCCAAATCGAATACTATAAGTAAGTTTTATATCAATCAACAGACCATGAATGTCTAGATATATTTTCCTCTATAACTACAAGTATTTAATTATAGATTTTCTCTATATAAAAGGGTTTGCTATAATCTCCATACTTAATTAACTAAAAATCGGGGGTTACTCACGTGAATATACTGAGAAAAGCTCTACTAGTTTCGAACCACAGAGGGGTTCTTCCTTATGAGCAGCGTGCGCGGTCGCAGCGATGTCGCGCAACCTACTGGCTAGCGTTGGCGCTCCCATCGGTGTTGCTACTTGCGCATCTAGCCCAACGCGCCCTCTGCCGGACACCACGAGCGTTTACTACCAACTCAAGCGGCGGCGCGCTGGACGATGTTGATGCGCACAATCAAGCAACCTTTAAATAGTGCAGAGATGAATGTAGCAGATGATCAAGTAACTTATATAAACCGGCAATGTACATAGTATAATAATCTTGATATCATAATATTGTCACATGCCATTGAGGCACATTATTACTATTATATATTTCAGACAGCAAGTCTATAAAATCAGTACTGATTGGAATATAACCATTTTTGTGTTATTATGGCTTGCCGTGCAAGGTTTGCAGATGTACGCCTGGAGGAAAAGTTTTTGGAAGGTAATACATAAATATTACTAAAAGGTCAGATCAACATATAGACTGTATATGATCACACTGTTACCTACGTGGGAGGAGCTGTGAAGTACTAACCAAAGTCACGACCCCTCGTGAATGAAATCGTGGGTACAGCTAGTATAATGTACTTAGTAGACTAAAAATTATTTCCTATGTTTTTCAATATAAAATTGTTGACCCTAGTTCCAATTTTAGGTTCTGAACTACAGCCAGTGGGGAATCAATTGTGTCGATATATGTGTCTTTTTGTACCTGACAGTGGCACATTACCAAGTGACCCATAAAGATGAATACTTTTCCACACATGATTGTCAAAATCCTAGCCTCGGTTTTACGTTTTTGGTAAGACATCTTTAGTCACTATAACGAATTGCTACTTGGAGGCCGCAAACTTATTCATGTATAATGAAACCGGTCTTATTGGCCATTTTTGTCATTGGTAATGACTACCTCATTGGCCGAGTGGTCCCAAGTGCGACTGCTGGGTAACGGGTCTCGGGTTCGATTCCCGGATCGGGCAAAGTATTACTGGGTTTTTTTAATTCTCAGTAGTAGCACGGAGTCTGGAAATGTGCCCGGTATATGGCAAAAGGCACAACCCCTATAACATGGGACTCGTAAAATAAACAGTGAAAAGTGGGTGTTACATTGTATAGTGACATCAAGTGCCGTAATGTGCACCTCTGCTTGCCCCTTCGGGGATAAAAGGCGTGATGTTATGTTATGTTATGAAACTTGTACAAACGCATCACTAGACCTGAAACTATCTCATAGTAACAAAGAATGTGTAATCTCAGCCTTCCGTTTTTACTCAAGGTATGTTATCGATATGAAACTTCTGATTAAAAAATTGAATATGAGCTCAGGTTTCATGAAGTTTCCATCAGCATCTATGTAAATAAGTATGAGAGTAATTTAAATAAACTTTAAACTTACGTAAATCTGAAACATTACAGGCAGCTGATCTTGAAATGCTTGCTGAGTCAATCACAGCGCCCTCAGTAGTTCATATATTAGCAGCTAGAAGCGAGCAAAAGGTAAAAAAAACTTATTTGATTGATCAATTTGATCTTGGCTTCTTGACACATTGTCGCACACGCTCATCTAAAAAGCAAGTGAGGCTGCTTTATAAAAACAAAGGTTACCGATTAAATTACAAAATATTTGATAGGCTAATGTAACAGGGACTTATCTGATTGTGCCATATCATACATTAATTATATTTTTTACATACAAAATTGTCTCTGAATCGGCATCGGCCCTATTGGGCCCCATCTGTGGTGGTCTGATGGCTCATTGAGGCGCGCGCGGAACGCGACGCGCCGTACACTCGGGTCTGTTTCTGGTCGGACGGGGAGCCACCCATGCTCGCCGTCCGCAGGCCCGCGCTTACGGTGGCCGGAGATCGTCTCGCGATCCCCGACGCCCGGTGTGTCCTTCGCAATGGCTGGGTTGCGAGGAGGCAGCGCTTCGCTACCTCACGCGTCCCGCCTCCTCCTTAGCTAGCATGACTGCTTCGCAAAAGGAGGAGACGGCATCCCAGTCCCCCTCGCTCCGCATCATGACCTGCACTAGGCCCGGACGCGAGAGGTCGCCATCGCCGATCACTTCCCTGAGGGCACGGCGGTGCTCAGCCCACGCAGAGCATTCCGCTACAGTGTGTTCCACCGTGTCCTCAGGGCGGTCCTCGCAGTGATGACAACCGGGCGTTTCCTCCCGCCCCATCAGACACAGGTACCTCCCGAAACTCCCATGTCCGGTGAGGACCTGCGTCAGGCGGTAGGTGAGGATGCCGTAGCGTCTCTCAAGCCACTCCTCAAAGAGAGGACTTACCTCTGCGATGGCAGCGAGCCCAAACTATCAATGGGATAGCAGTGGCAGTTGAACTTCAAGTGAAACAAATCTGGTATTTCTTGAGCTACAGCCATCACCAAGCATATTTGTTAACTGACGTAGCTCTTATTTAATATATTATTGTCTGTTTCCTAGCTAAGCTACTAGGTGATCTGCTGACCTACTAGCACACAAGATGGGGTGAATATAAATAAAACCGCCTCTGTGTACTGATCTAAGCTGGTATATGTTCTATATATTTGACATTACAAATCAATTTTACAAATCAATTTTACCTTATAGTTTCATTGGTAACGAAACCATAGCTCGATTTTAATTGCGACAACGCAATCTATCGAGCTATGAGACAACTTTTGAACAAAAATATTTTTTGACTTCAACAATAAGTTTGGTCTTGAACATTGTCTCCTTTTATGAACGCTCGTCTAAAGCACCTTCTATCGACCACCTGGTCCATTGTGGAGCTATGATTTATTATAAATATTTTAGATTAATCCAGCGCAAGACAGCACTGCTATGGTAGTATCAAATGCATTAATATACATCTTCAAAGGCTTGCTTAGCGTGAAAGTAAAAATTAACTGTGAGGATGTAATTAATACCTACTTGCCACCCATAACATTCAGTAAGTGTATACTTGTGTTTTTTTCATGAAATATACGGCTAAACGAGCAGACGGATGACCGTCAGGTGATCCTGATGATAAGCAACCGGCGCGGCCCACGGATACCCGCAACACCAGAGGTGTTACAATTGCGTTAACACCGGCCTTTTGGGGATTAGGAATTTGAGGATTGTTCGGAGTTTGGGGAGATTGGGGCGGGGGGTAATTGGGTCTCCGGTAATCGGTCTCACGCCGAAACACTATTGATTCCCATCGGTTTTTGGTGAGGCCGTGATATCACTCCGAACTGGCCCATTCGTGCCGAAGCGTGGTTCTTGGTCCCACACTTGGAGTATCCCTAAAGCGATACTGGTAAAAACATTACTTGTCTCTTGGAAGATTATTTAAATATTTAAACATAACAGTGTTTGGAACAAGCAAATTGGTTTAAACAGAATACTGACCGATAGACTGAATTTTTTAATATTTTGTTTAACGTTCAAAAATGCCTTCTTGGTCTTTGATGAAGAATCCTTCGTAATTTTAAAAAGAACTAGAGAAGGCTTACTATGAAGTTAGAATTAGGATGATTAAGTTTAGTATGTCACGATGGAGAACTTTTCCATACACAGGATATCAAGTTAAGTTTAGTTTAAGTACTTAAAGTGTTGGTTCCAGATGAACACAGTTGGTTCTACCTGTGGCCGATGTTATTCCAACAGTTCTATTTGGGCGACATATTCAGTGTTCTTTACACCGTATTCAATATGGTTACCGATATATGTATTATTGTAAGTAATAACATTTTGTACTTTGATATCTTAACTACTTTTTCAAGGATGCACAAAATATTAATTTTGATCTCATTACTTTTGAAATCTTCCATTCATTAATGTTGTTCGTATTTCTGATTGAACCAAATTTGTTTATAATTTTGAAGTCGTTTATTGTTGAGAAGTATCGAATGGCTATAGAATGCTCTACCTATAGGATTTTTGTCAACAAAACCTCACGTAAATGTAAAATGCATAATATATTTCAGATGGTGACAAATCTATGCGTCATTGAAACAATTGTCTATGAGTGGCCCAAATTCAAGCGATGGAGTGCTACTATTGTAATTTCCATTACTGGAATTATCATGTACTGCATCACGACTATTGATGTAATTGCATGACTTTATTACCTTAATGGCGTTGAGATCTCGGTCATCCGGAGTGATATCAAATTCTTGTAAAAGTACTGTTACACAAGCTAATTTCAAGTACGAAAGAAAGCATGTTTCGGAATTTTTTGTTTAAAATTAACATGATCTTTTCAGGCATGTTTGCACATTGACAAGCGTTCAATATTTGGATGTCTTTGAGCATGCACAATAGAATACCTTTTAGCATGCTATTTTAGAACATGTATAAAAGTACACTATTTTTTAATAAGGGAAAATCATAGAATGACTTTTCCCACCTGGGTGAGGCGGAAGGGAATGTCAGACTCTTACTGACTAAAAACAACCCCGTTCCTTTTCCTGCCCTTCGAGGCAGAGCCCCGGTAACGCGTTAGGTTCTCCGCGACATAAAAATACACTTAAGGACGTGTTATCACTTCGGGGTAATAGTGCTGAAGTATTTTTTTATGGCATATAAAGTAAACGAGCAGACGGCTCACCTGATGGTAAGCAATCGGCGTCGCCCATGGACACCTGGAACACCAGAGGCGTTACAAGTGCGTTACCGGTCTTTTGAGAATTAGGAGTTTAAGGATCGTTGGGGATTCAGGAATTGGAGAGATTGGGGAATGGGAGGGTAATTGGGCCTCCGGTAACCTCACTCACACGACGAAACAACGCAAGCGTTGCTTCACGTCAGTTTTCTGTGAGGCCGTGGTATCACTCCGGTCGAGCCGGCCCATTCGTGCCGAAGCATGGCTCTCCCACACAATATGATGATTGTGCACACATAGTATGACTCAGACTGTAAACTCAAAACCCTATATTTTCTGTTTTATGTTATGTTACAGACTCGAGCTATTCTATGGGTTTACGCAAAAGGTATAGCGACTGTTGGTGAAATAGTATTCCTATATCTGTGGTATCCAGTAGGAAGACTTATAGACGATTTCACCTTCCACTACGGTACCCCGCCAACTCAACTGAGAATATTGAGCTTACGGCTTGTACCCATTTATTATATTGTACGTTGATTACCTCTTACTCATATTTAGGTATATTTACTACTATTTGCTATATTGTTAAAAAATGAACTCATAATACTTGATAGTCAAATTCCCTTCTTTATTTGTGTCAACTGCGGCTTCCAAGCTAAGAGCCTTTATTTTAATTTTGGACTAGACAAGGTAGATTTTGTTATCACCTTTTAAACCTTCCTTAGACTTCCACCTTCCACAAAAATTTCAAGACCAAAATTAGCCAAATCGGTTCAGCTGGTCTATTTTTAGCAAGACAAACGTTAGACACAACAACAAAAGTTAAAAATATGCGGGTTTCAGAAATAGGTGTTGATAATGCTACGCCTAGACAAACTTAGCATACCCTATGTAGTCGCGATATATTCAGCAAAGATAACGTGACTTTGAAAAATTTTGGAGACGCCTATATCGAGTAATAGACAAACAGGGGTTGCTGATAATGGTTTTTTTTTCAGTTCAAAGTGTATGTAATGTTCAATTCTTTATGGAATGTAATGTACAAATCAACGGTTGGACAAGAGTGTTCACATTACGTATGGTCATGGTCCTTGATGGTACTGCCCATAATCATAGGGATGCTGTTCACAGTTTACAATTATCTCGTTAAACATAGAACGGTAATGTATTTGTACCTCATATTTTAATAGGAATCGTTGTTTAATTTTAACTAGATTCGACTAAAAGACAGAATTATTGACTAAAAATTACGATTGACTAAAAATCACGAGCATGGGTGGCTCACCGTCCGACCAGAACCAGACCCGAGCATACGTGCGTCGTCCGTCCGCCCGTGCGTCACTTTCCGCGCGCGCCTCAAAGAGCCCTCAGACCACCACGGATGGGGCCAAACAGGTCTGATACCGATCCAGAGTCGCGGAGAACCTAACGGGTTACCGGGGCTCCGACTCGAAGCGCAGGAGAAGGAACGGGGTGATTTTTAGTCAGTAAGAGTCTGACACTCCCTCCCGCCTCACCGAGGCGGGATCTTGATAAAATTATTATAAAAACATAATTTTTGATCTTATTACCCCTTGGTCAATGCTTTTCGTTTCATGTTAAAACATCATTGTAACAAATACTTATACCGATGAAAATATCTAGATTTATCTATATTTTTAGACATGGAACCTCATTATGCGTCCAGTACCGAAATGGGGGCCACGTGATTTTACTATCAGACAGTTAAGAAAGCAATTCGATTCGAGATACGTAAGTCGTGTATAGTTTCCGTGGTACTTAGCGACTGGGCTTCACCCAGTTGTGAAGTCACTTTTTGTGTCTTTAGGCTTAATTCATTCTGTCTCCTGCAGTAATTCACCGAGGGGAGTGGAAACTATAGTTTTTTTTCTTCTCCTCTTATAATATCTTCTGATTCACTTCGTTGCGGGAACCACGACAGTTATTCATGTCCCTGGCACGCGCCGGACTTCAGTGTTCCGGTGTTTTCGTGGTTGTATCTACTGTAGATCCTAGCTTACAGGAGATGCAGCGGTTTTGGGAGGTTGCGACGGGCTTGTCCCAAAAAAAGTAGTGAGTGTGCGAGAGATAGTCACTGTGCGAGTATACATACGATTCTAGTACATTAGCATGGCTTGAAACTAGTCGAGTTCCTCGTCAAAGAGTTACATGGTTAAGCCGAAAAACATAATAAATAATTTAGTATGTCTAACAAAAGTTATAATACAAATAGCAAATGTATTTTTCGTATTAAGCTCTCGTTCGAATGGGGCCTAACACTCGAATACTGAAAGAGTATTTCAAGTTGTGTTTAAATATAGTGCCATCTCTGTCAGTTACAGTTTGGCGTGGTAGTTAGGCAACTGGCTGCCACACAACGTGTCGCGGGTTCGATTTCCGCACGGAGCAACTCTTAGTGTGATCCACAAATTGTTGTTCCGAGTCTGGGTGTTATTATATGTATGTGAAATTGTATGTTTGTAAACGCACCCACGATACAGGAGAAAATCTTAATTCGGGGCAACGTTAAAAAAATATACATAGAAATTGTAGTGACAGAACTATATTTAAGCGCGACTTAAATAATGAGTATTTTAGCATAAATTATTTGTTTTTCTTTCAGTTTATTGCTTCAGATGTTCCTAGACTATTGAGTCATTATCTCTTATCAAAAAGGGAGACCAAGGTTTATAAAGTAGATGTTCGTTACGACGTCCAAAGAAGGTCTACGGTCAATAAAGCAGTCGGTTTTGGAATAACATCTATGTCAGATAAACGAAGATCTCAAACGAACAAAATATCTTGACGATACTATATTAAGTACGGTTATTGCATATTTCAAATGCTTGCTTACAATTTTAATTTTTTAATACTTCGCAGCTGGCTTGAAAGTTATTTTAATTGTAAATTATTAATTTTTATGTGAGTTTCTAGGCGGTTTTTTAGGTGTTTCAATGCAAGCAATAAGGTATCGATAATCGATAATTGTGTACCCCGATGAACTTAAATTATTTTAGAGTTACTATTTATTCATTAAGTTATTATTTATTCATTTGGTTTTTTAATAAGTGAAAGTAATTATACATAAGTTTTATTTCTTTCGAACAAAAAAATTAGTGTCAATTAAGTTGTTTTTTTGTTAAACTATTTTAGATTTAATAATCATAAACATGACATTAACATTAAGTTCTGCATGGAGTTGTCTTTTATTTTTTCTACTGATTTAAGCTGTGCGTTGCGTTAGGCGTGTTTACAGCGGGTCGCCCGTCGCACCCTGATGTATGAGAATACATGAAACAGCAAGCCACGCAAGCGCATGGCGCATGGCCTTACCTTTCATGATTTAGAAAAGGTAATGTTCATGATTATCTCTCTTATCTCATTTTCATTGTAATATCTTCTTCTGCTGAACATAACTAGTGTGCAGACTAATTACAAACTGTTTGTTACAATAGTCATCATTTCTTTTTGTCATTACAATACTAAGGACGTTAAAAAATGACGGACATGGTCTCTTGAAACTACGACTGTGGCACCTGGCTACTATAGAGTTGCATGCAGAATATGAACACATTGACACGAAGGACATCTGCCATTTTCTTAAGTCTGGTAATGTGGTGGTAACCTATTATACACGCACACACACACGTAAAAAAACTTTTTTTTATCGGGACAAGCCCGCCACTACCTCCCAAAACCGCTGCAACTCCTGTAAGCCAGGATCTACAGTAGGTACAACCATGAAAACCCAGAACACGGAAGTCCGGCGCGTCACAGGGACATGAATAACTGCCTTGGTTCCCGCATCGAAGTGAATCAGAAGATAATTTATAAGAGGAGAAGAAAAATAAATTGTGCTTCAAATATTTGTTCAAGTGTCATTACATTATCCGCCTTTTTTCCATCATCCTTGTACAATACTCTCTGTATGCCACAGACAAAAAATCCGCCATTAAATTGTCATTCTGACAATTTTAACATAAACAGTAAATCAATATTTTATATTCAGTATTTTACAATTATTTTATTGCAATGTTATAATTCCATATTGTTAATTAAATGTATGGTTCCTAGGGTAAGTACTAAGGTTCATATTATGTATTATATACGATAGAAACAAAAGAAATCCATTGGTAGTATTGAACTGTGAATTGGCTTTTCGAAATTATTACTGCTTTGGTGATTGAATTACTATTATCCTGCTAAGGAAGGGGTATTCCTGTGTTGGGTAAAAATATTATTACGGTACCCCTGTTGATACATAGGACTTATAAATATATGGTAAAAAGCTATAACCGACGAGCATATATGAAAAGATTGATGATTGTTGATGAAGCGAAAGAGTTAATGTAGGAATCGTAACAATTGACGTTCCATAGTCTAGAGACTATAGGTAGGGTAGGTAGACCTACCCCTATGGGAGACAGGCGTAAAGTTATGTATTTAAGCGCAAGAATGTTTTTTCTATTCAATGTGTGCACCTTGACCTGCAGGTATGTGGAATTATCTTCCTAATATTATAAATTCTGCCTCGTTGGCCGAGTGGTCGCAAGTGCGACTGCCGAGTCGGGCAAGGGGTCTCGGGTTCGATCCCCGGGTCGGGCAAAGTATTACTGGGTTTTAAAAAAATTCTCAGTAGTAGCACGGAGTCTGGAATTATGCCAGATATAATTATGGTAATAGGCTCACCCCCTATTACATGGGACTCATAACATAAATAGTGAAAAGTGGGTGTTACATTATACAGTGGCATAGTGTGCACCTCTGTCTACCCCTTCGGGGACAAAAGGCGTGATGTTATGTTATGTTATATGTTATAAATTCAAAAGGTTATAATTTTAAAACGGATAAAGGGATCGGTTCGAAATTTTAGACCAGGGATAGACTATGGTCTGAATTAATACATAGGCTATTTATTATCCCATCGAATACGCGGACAGAAACTAGTTGTTCATATTACATCTTTCCAGGATTATTTACTTAGAAATCAAAAGAAACTTGAAGAAAGGTATATTCCTATTGTTGAATTTGTCAGCAATTTCAAAGTCTTCATCATGGACAGAGATAGTCGTAAGGAGATTGGCACTACTCATGAACGTGAAGCGCCATTGATGACTCCAGATAATCCTAGATTTCATTTGCATTTAGTAGCTAAAGTTAGTCCACAGTTTTATTTTAACTATCTTGTTTCGCTTTTTTGTGTTCCTTTCTCTCTTGCTCCCAACCCTCTTTAGCAATGGGTAAATAGTACCACTATAATAAAAAAGTAATGAGGGGACTCGTTTTTGTATGACTTTTAAATAATTTTTTTGACATTACTGCCTCGTTAGCCGATTGGTCGTAAGTGCGACTGCCGAACAAGGGGTCTCGGGTTCGATTTCCGGGTCGGGCAAAGTACTACAGGATATTTTATAAATTCTCAGTAGTAGCACGGAGCCTGGAATTGTGCCCGGTATATGACAATAGGCTTACCCCCTATTACATGGGACTCATAACATAAATAGTAAAAAGTGGGTGTTACATTGTACAGTGGCATAATGTACACCTCTGTCTACCCCTTCGGGGATAAATGGCGTGATGTTATGTTATGTTATTCTCGCTACGCTAGTTAAAATGAGAACCAGAGACTCGACTAGATGGTTAGATAATAATATTGGCTTACATCAGAGCTTTACATTCCATTTAGCTTGAATGTCAGTACATGAGACACAATAGACAACACATTGAGTCTCGCGTGGATCTGTACTCTGGCATACCGCGGGTACATACATCTTCTCTTAGAACTTATATTACCTTATTGGTACTACCTAAAAGATTACATTTTGGATCTATTTCTAAGTTATTAAAATAATTATTACAGACATCTCGGCCTTCAGAACGACCAATAATAAGATCGACCAAATGGGAGCGTCTCTCTTACTACAGGGCCCTAACAGCCACACCATGCAAGACAGAGATAATTGTAATGAAACATGTGGAGTTAAATGTGTAAGTTCAAAACATTTCTAATTTAAAAATAAACACGCCTCAAAAACCGTAGTAGGAAGCGGGGACTGCACTGTTGGCGCAGTGGCTGGGCCACTGGCGGCCGCGCACAATGTTTCGCGGGTTCGATTCTCGCACGGAACATCTTTTTGTGTGATCCACAAATTGTTGTTTCGGGTCTGGGTATTATGTATATGTGAACTTGTATGTTTGTACACGCACCCACGACACAGGAGGAAATCCTAGTGTGGGGCAACGTTTAAAAAAAAAGAAGGAGGATTTTTTCGAGGGGCAAAATCATCCAATGACTTTTACCGCCTGGGGTGAGGCGGGAGAAAGTGTCAGATTCTGATTAAAAACCAACCTATTTCTCCTGATCTTCGAGCTAGTATCTTAGCAATGCGTCAAGTCTTCTACGGCTCAGAGTGATAATACCAGGTACCACATAAGCTTAAGAAGTTTCTAAGGACCGTGTTAAATGAAACAAGTGAATTTGTTTCTGCCAATAGGCAGCAGCAGTTTCTTTTTTCATTTTTTTTTACTTTTACACGTCAATTATTTAAGCGATTAATGATGTCGACATTTCCTAAGTAACGTAGTAAGTCGTGTTTTGTAATTTGGCCTGCCATGATTGAACAAAGGTGTGAGTTTACAAATGTGATTATGATGACAGGGTATGAAAATTAAAAATATAATTAGTCCGTAAGTCAGGTAATGAAAAAATATTCGACACTTTGTCGTATAATAAAACAATACTTAGATAAAACGAATCAAAGTTTAGGAGTGCGGGCTAAAACGTCATTTCTACGTACAAAATGTTCATAGAAGTGACGTCACGCGACATTTCAAAACAATACATCCTCGAAAATATTCGTTTCTATAAGAAAATAAAAAATAGATACGTGTCTAATGATTTAAAATAAACTACTAGTCGGACATTTAAACTGTCAAACACCAAGCGGTCACCGGTGACCGCAACCTATTGTTCTATAATTGTGTCTATAATGACGGTACTCATCGAGTTAAATAAAAATTAGGCATATACCTAATCTATAGATATTTTATTTTGTTTCTCTTACAGGTGTATTTGGTTTTATGTACTGAATGTGTTCTTTATAACATTGCCACATTGCTTCGTCCATTTTTTTATGGCAACTTATGCACCAGAAGAGCATCTCTTTTTGATTAAAATGGTACCCATATGCTTTGGTACGTTTGAATTAATCTAGAACTATTGTTTGTTATTATAGATTTATGAAAGAAACATCTCTTATAACATTTCTACATTATAACATAACATCACGCCTTTTATCCCCGAAGGGGTAGGCAGAGGTGTACATTATGCCACTGTACAATGTAACACCCACTTTTCACAATTTATGTTATGAGTCCTATGTAATAGGGGGTGAGACTATTGCCATATACCGGGCATAATTCCAGACTCCGTGCTATTACTGTGATTTTTTTTTAAAACCCAGTAATACCCTACCCGGGAATCGAACCCGAGACCCCTAGCTCGGTGGTTGCACTTGCGACCACTCGACCAATGAGGCACTTCTACATTATATAATCTTAAATACATGTATTATTTCAGGTTTTAAATATTTATTGGTTATGGCAGGATTTTGTGAGATTCTTCTATGTTTAGACACCGTAATGATGTTGTTTCATTACTTAATGGATGGAATTATAAGGAAAAATCCATGGAACAGGTAAGGCCAATTTAATATTATCTAATCCACGTAAGAAGAGCGAATTTATTGTCTTCAGTTGGGCACGATTATAGCAGCTAAAGTTTTTGAGCATTCTATTTAAGCCTGATCGATCGATCAAAGAATGGCAATCGTTGTTACGATTAGCTCTCTATTGAACTTTAAGAAATATAATATATTGATTTGTTTAACTCACAGGTGTGATACGAAAACTTACTACGATGCACTTCTAAATGTAACAATTCAATGTTACAATTTACAAGAATTTGCTGAAACATTTAATAATGTTACATTAGGATACGAAAAGTCTTCTTATATGACGCCAGACAAGAACTATATACAAATATCACAGATGGACTATTATAGGCATTTATTGTAAGTATATAGCATAGATTTTTTTTAAGGTAGGAATATCATCGAATGACTGCTCCCGCCTGGGTGAGGCAAGAGGGAGTGTCAGACTCTTACTGACTAAAAACCACCCCGTTCCTTCTCCTGCACGTCGAGCCGGAGCCCCGATAACCCGTTAGGTTCTCCGCCACATATAGCATAGATAATACCCGAGCGTAAGGCGCGTCGAGGTCCGCGCGCGCCTCAAAGAGCCATCAGACCACTACAGATGGGGCCCAACAGGGCCGATGTGGATTTGGAGTCGCGTTAGTCAGTAAGAGTCTGTCACTTCCTCCCGGCTCACCCAGGCGGGAGCAGTCATTCTATAATTTCCCCCCCTTAAGAACAAAAAACAAAAAATAGCATAGGTAATATTGTATAGAATGCAGAGATACAAAATACTTATTTAAAGCGTAGTGTAGGTAGAAGAGGCGTTTGGTCAGTAGAAGTCACTTCTATGATGTTGAATTTGATGTTGTTATTTTAGCAAGTTTGAAGTTCAACAACTTCAAAAACTAAAAACAAACGAAAAGTAAAAACTAAAATGCAAAAAATAAATATTTATTTATTTATTTATTTATTTATTCCACTTACATTTATCTTTACAGATGCCCAATGCGATAAATGTGCTCATCTTACTATCTACCTATAGCATATTACATATAATGCCTTCCTTGTGAATTCACCCAGAGTACAACAAAATAGGTCGATTTCATTAGAAATCAGGTTGAGCGTGCGAAGTGCACGCGTCAGCGGCGCTTCCCTTAATAGGTTGGTCCGACCGCGGGGTTCTACCAGCAGTGGCGGTCGCCGGCGTCGCCATACGTACCTATCCGGAACACATAGACTCAGCTGTCCTAAAATGACTGCATTGTGCAGCTTTCCTCTTAATATTTTAAACAAATGTGAGGTAAGTGCAAAATCCCGTCTTACCCTTAACTCATTGTACCCCACCATGCCTAAAATAAATAATGTGGGATACATCAATGGGTAAAACGGATAGACCCCATAGTACCTCGAGTATAAATATCTAATAAATTTATTTTGAATTCTCTCCAGCATGAGACTATATTTAGCTTCATGCGGAGACCATATGACTGCGTTACATTCTAACTGGCTCCTAACTAGTGCGTTATATAGTGTGATGATGGCTTTTATGTTAGTAAATCCACGGACCGTTCGGAGCATGAAGCCTAAGTTTCTAAAAGCCTTTTTACAACAACCCATAACGTGTTCACGGAATGTCAGACCGGTGTTAAATCTTACTCCCAAATCCTTGACTTCCCCGACTCGCGCCAAAGGCTGCCCCTCAATGTGATATCTGCCCTCAATAGGATTATGTGCACGCGAAAACGCAATTGTAACACATTTCGAACTATTGAATTGTAGGAGATTTTCTTTACTCCAGCTCACCACTCTATCAATGTCCCTCTGTAACCTGACACAATCCTCCTCAGTTCTTACTGCAAGAGATAATTTGAGATCGTCAGCAAATAACAGACAATTAGCATCTTGGACTACTTCTGGCAAGTCATTTACCACCAGAAGGAAACTTAAAGGTCCAAGATTGCTACCTTGACTCACTCCTGATCTAGTGAAATATGGATCCGACACATGTCCCGCATATTCAACATATTGTCGCCTATCCCTCAAGTAGCTGGCAAAAAACTGAAGTGTATGCGGGGTGAAACCAAAGCTAGCGAACTTCGTAAGCAACACGTCATTATCGACAAGGTCGAATGCTTTTCGGAAATCGAAATAAGCAGCATCAGTCTGCCTCCCACCATCCACTGTTGGTATCAGATGAGCCATGTGACAGAGAAGATTACTGGTGGTGCTCCTTCCCGGTCGAAACCCATGCTGAGCATCGGAGAGCTGCGCGCGCACTTGTACATATATGCTCTTATGGATAGCGGTTTCTAATACTTTTGCCGGTGTCGACAATACTGCTACTGGCCGAAACCCATCTACAGATTCTGCAGATACCCCCTTCGGAACCGGAACAACGCGAGTCACTTTCCACCTCTCAGGGAACATGGCAGCTTGCAGACACCGATTATAAATATGAAGCAGTGGCTTTGCTAGCGCTGAACGACAATCCTTAAAAATATAAGGGGGAATGCCATCAGGCCCTGCGGATCGCTTCGGCTTTAGATCTTGTAGCGCTCGAGACACATCTGCTAGCGTTAATTGGTCAAAGTGTACTCGCGCCGCTCCGTTTCCACTACCTGCTCTTGCTACAGCCGCGTCAACGTCCAGCGCTGGTGGTTCTGCCCTATAAACAGAGTAAAAATACTGCGCAAACTCTTCAACACAACGCTGACCAGACAATACCTCCCCATCTTTCAAAATCTTCTGCGGTCCCCTCCTACCCCTCTTGGATTTGGTGTAATTCCAAAATGATTTGGGGTCACTCAGCATTTGACTCTGGACACGGTCACGATATTGTTTCTGCGCGACTACCATCATCTTTTTAACGCGAGCCCTACACCCAGCAAAAGCATCGTAGTCCACTTTCGACCCACTCGCCTTGTACTGCTTATGCAGAAAAGCCTTTAATTTTATGTCGCGAATTATCTCACTCGTGTACCACTCAGGGTAAATGTACCTTGAGTTTACACGACTTCGCTTTTTTTTTTGGAACGCAGTCATCTATAACAGAATTAATAACATTGTAAAAATAATCTAAACCTAATTCTACGTCTAAGTCATACAAAGTAGTCCAGTCTATGGTTGAGATTAAGGAGTATAATGTTGGAAAATCGGCTTTGTTAAAGTTCCAACTTGTTTCGGGTGCCGAGCTCGCTGTGCAGGGCGCTGCCGGGGCTACTGAGCCGGCGCTCCGGCGTCGGCGCGAGCGAGTACTTACCTTGATCTCAAGCGGCGGGTGGTACGCGTCCACTGGTACCAGCGGCGTCTCGGCCGCACGCACACTCACACGCCCTCCCTCAGTCAATGCACTCAACACCAAATCCAAACAACGATCATTACAATTTCCCACTGTGTTACTCTGAGTGAATCCACAGAAAGCCTGAAAGTATTCATAATAATCACTTATGGCTGAAGAACACGAATACAAGTTAAAGTCTCCTATAATTACCACATTCTCGTATTTACCACTATAATGTTCAATGATGCGAAATAATGACATATATTCATTATCATTACTACTTGGCGGTATGTAAACAACACAAATAAAAAATAGAAATCTTTTATGTAGGTACACAGTAGCACAAACTATTTCGAACACCTGATTGTCCACGCTGACGTCATCGGGCAGCGGCACTCGCCGCAACTCAAAACGCGGTGTGGCCACGAGACACGCGCCGCCGTGCTTACGCCCGTCCGTTCGATCACACCGAAAAATGGTGTACCCTGGTGGAATTATTTCTGCGTCATAGATGGAATCATTACATCCTGTTTCCGTCATGGCAAACAAGTCTACACTACCGGTGGATATATTTGTGTGACATTCTTCTAATTTTGTCCGCAGCCCTCGAACGTTTTGGTACAATATTTCCACCGAGTTATGTAGGATATCCGGGGTTGTTTGCTCTCCGAAACCACACCCATTCCGCAAATTCAATGTTAACTGCCCAGTTTTCTGATTGGCATAACTTTTCATATTTACTTTCAGGAACTCCTATAATAAAGGAAGCATAATCTCTTTCTGTCTTGTGCTTAATTTGTTCCACCTTAACGGGTACTTCTTCCGCATATATCTTCTTGACATGCTTTTCTACGCTTTCCGCTGTCGTTCCCTTCTGCAATCGCCACACATGTAAATATTTCTTCCTTTCCGTTCCTTGTATATCAATCACATTACTATTCCCGCCCTTCTTCACTTCGTTATTCGTAAATCTGTTTTTTTTCCTGGTAACGGTAGTCCACTGTCCCTCCTTTTCAGGATGTTCCCTGTCCCCGCTTACCATAGTTTTAGTCTTCCCATTATTTCTTACTTTTGTCTGCTCTTTATTTATTAATACTGTCACCGATTTCGTGGCCACACACTCATTTACTTCATCATTTCCATCTACCTGCTTTTCTTTGACAACTTTAGCAAATGATTTTTTTAGGTCTTTAGAGCCTTGTTCGGCCTGGATTTGGCCTTGACTGTTCTTCAAACTTGCTTCCAGTTTCTCATTTTCTCCCATAAGAACCCTTATTCTTGTTTCTAGCATTTCGACTTTATTTGCCTTTTGTTGCACTAACTTCAAAATTTGTTTCAACTCTTTCAACTCAGTTTCTGTATTTATAAATTTATTTTTCAACTGAATGAACTCACTTCGTTGCTCTTCCAACTGCTTCTTAACTTCCCCACGAAACTCTCGTATTTCATTGAGAAGTTGAATCTCCGTGTTGAGTATTATTTCACCGGTTTTTCGATGACTGCCTCGATCAGCGGTATTCACACTGTTGCACTGTGAAACCGACTTGTTGGTGCTTGTAGTTCCTCGAACAGGCGTGTTAGTATTACCACGCTTCGGCATAGTGCAGACACATTCTGGACAACTCCACTTAACTTTATATTCTCGCGTAAATGCGTTGAATTTTTCCTCAGTCAATGCCAGACACTTGAGATCAAATTTCTTCTTGCATTTTTCTTGTGAGCACTCCATAAAAAATGAAGTATTCAAAGCAGCATCACAGCCGCTACATTTCGTATCCATTTATAACGTAAAACAGCGAAATATTTTATTTTATTTATTACACAATACACTCCGGCTACGTAACACGTCCGCTCACGTCACGATCGAGTGAATAATATAATTGGTCACACGTACTTATAACTTACACACCCACTGATAGGTGAGAAATCGGTCATAAAAAAAATATGCAGTCGAATTGAGGACCACCTCAACTTTTTTTAAGTCGGTTAAAAAATCGAGTATTTCGTGCGTTGCTACAAGGCTTTATTTATTTTGACATTGATTTACCACATTCAAAAATATTTTGTTCATAGGCACTACATGAATGAGCTGGACGTATTCCGAAACGCATCCTATTTTTTCGTTTTATTCCTTGGGATCACTTTGTTTCATCAATTAGTTGAGACAAAAATATTTTGGAAGGTAAGTGTATAACATTTTTAGTTCTTTGTTCAATTACAATACAGAATTCAACCCTGAGAGTGTATCTAAGTTGCTCAGTATGTTTTTAAATTATTCTATTACAGTTTCTAAATGGATGTCAGTGGGGAATAAATATCGTTGATCTGATTACTTTCATATACTTGTTAGCGCAAAGCAGTGAATTGACAGAAGAACAAAAATTAGTCAATAGAACTTCTGAAGTTAATAAAGGCCCTAGTATATTTAGTTCACAGTTTTGGGTAAGACTTTTTACAACGATTACTGTATGTCCTTTAGTTTTCATGTTCGAGTGAGTAAGGGTGATTATTAATGTATTATTGAAATTTTCACTTCTTGCAATTTTTAATCAACAAAATGAAAACGTAGGTTACCAAATTATGCGACCAACTTGACTAACGCAACGATCCAAACATTAACTAATTAATATATATTTATCCTTTGATAAAATTTTCATGCGTTGACATTAATATAGATACTAATTCGATAATAATACTTTGTTGAATACAGTCTGCTGATGTCGATGTTATATCTGAATCTATAACAGCTCCAGCTGTCATTCATGTCTTGAGCGCCAGAAGCACACAGGAGGTATGCTAAAATTCATAATCTTATAATTATCTTGCAAACAATAATAATTTGCAACCTAACCTGACCTGACTATAGAGTAAGATATAAATTAAAATAGAATTAAAGTGTAGGAGAGCCATGCTTCGGCACGAATGAAATGAATGAAACAACGCTTGCGTTGTGTTTCGTCGTGTGAGTGAGGTTAGCGGAGGCCCAAAAACCCCTCCTCCCCAGCCTCCCCAATCCCCGAATCCTCCACAATCCTATCCAAATTCCCAATTCCCAAAAGGCCGGTAACGCCCTGGTGTTTCGAGTGTCCATGGGCGGCGCCGATTGCTTACCACCATAAAAAAAAAATGTATTGTTTTTCAGATCTCACCAAGCACAGATACTGCAACCATGGTGATTTCAAATGCACTAATTTACTTGTTCAGAGTAGTGCTATCGAATCGTGTTCGAATATACGTCGAACGTCTTATATTAAAAGAGGTTCATGTAGAAGAGTTTTGTAAGTAATTTTTTATTGATACTCGCAAAAATAATGATGAAATGAAAACTTATTTCTTGATGATTTGTTTTTTGCATTAACTAAATATTTAGAGATGATAGAAGTAAGGTTAGTGCTTCAATAGGAGACGCATTGAAATACAATTGCTGCCATAACACATACAAAATGACCTGTAAAATGTTAATGCATAAAGCATATTTATCCTGTAAGTGCAATTCTATAGTGTAACATAACAAGTACGCCTTTTATCCCCGAAGGGGTAGACAGAAGTGCAAATTACAGCACTTAATGCCACTGGTACAATATAACATCCACTTTTCACTATTTATTTTATGAGTTCCATGTAATAGGGGGTGAGCCTATTGACATATACCGCTAAGGTGAAACAGAAACAAAATATTATGATAATCATGATCACACTTATCTCATTTTCAGACCCACGAAACTATTTCTTTTTTTGGACTATGTTTTATTCGAACTTCTATCTTGGTAATATATTTACCGTATTATTCATGGGATTTTCTGGACTAATGGAATTCACAATGATTGTAAGTATGTGTTGGACATACCTAAGTATAATTTTAATCACTATCTGGATTACAAATTGATTTTCTTGCTCGTTCTTCTCCATTTGAATCTACTATATTTTGGAATGAACACCTAGCTTCATCTAGCTTCACTGATGGACTGACTGGCAGACTATTATTTATTTTGTATTTGTTGACGTTCCAAAACCACCGAATTATGAGTCAATTGATTGAATGCTTTTTGACCTTTGACCTTGAATATCTTCAATTCTAATATTATTTTCTTATTTCAGGTTGTGACTTATCACTGCTTGATACAAACAGTACGATATGAGTGGCCGAAAATACGAATATTTGTATTTAAAGGAATTCTCCTAACTGTGGCGTTGTTCATGTTTGTGCTTAGTAGCATTTGGGTAAGAATTGTATAAAATATCGCATCAATCAGTATATTAGATAAGGCCTAAAACGCATTTAAGCAAGCTTAATGAATTTAACGATTCACAATGGGGTACAATTCAAAATTGTAATTGTAATAAATTTATTCATTTACCAATATCTAAATACATCAAGCTCTGTCTCCTGAACTAGGCGTTGCCTGTATCTCAGGAGGAGAGTCAGGAGAAATTACGCGCTGATATTGAGAATTAAATAAAAAAAAATAATAATAAATATGAAATATAAATATAAACACTTACCATCTTCTGCAAAAGGCAGTTGCATTAAACACCTGCAGATTGTTAAGAAAGTTTCTTCAATGCGAATCAGATAATGTAATACAACCCCCTCACAACCCCACCAATGTACACTTGGCTTAGGCCCGTGCCATCAGATTTCCCGGCGTGCCAGAGGAAAAAAATATATAAAAAACATAATAATAATGTCCAACCGAGAATTAAAACCAAAAATTATTTCGTTCGGCAATCGCATTTTATCCGTTTTTTATCCGCATACCCTTATTGCACAATACACATGGAAAGTTACAACTGACAAAAATAGATGTTACTTTTTGTACGATTACATTGCAATATTAATCACTATGTTCTTTCCAGACTAGAGCGATGCTGTTCGTATATGGTAAAGGCATAGCGACTATGACAGAGTCCATATTTCTCTACTTACTATACCCAGTGGGACGACTGGTCGATGATTACACATTCCATTACGGAGCTCCTCCAACTAAGTTGAGAATTTTAAGTCTGCGCATGGTACCTGTATATTACACGGTTAGTATAATATTTTTTCTATAGATTTCTATGTAGTATCTATGAGAAAAATCTGTATTTTGCTCTAAGAAGTAACTTGGTCAGGTCAATTAATAAAATGATATTTATTTCTGCATATAGGTTACATAGCAACACTTTTACACGTCAACCTTTAAATTACTAGATGAGGCTGACATTTTTTAACTAACTACTGTGAGAACAAACGTCGAAATAAACTCAGAGGTCATTGTCTCTTTTGAAGTCCAGCCAGATTACATAATATGCGAGAATCGTGAAAGTTGACTCTGTAGTGATCTTTTGATGGAAGATCCACAACAGTTTAAACGGACCAGGTTCTGATGGCAGCACGCATGTGTCAGTTTCCAATCAGCTCGAGTAACGGAAATCTGTGAACCGACGGCAGAATACAAAACGTCATAAAACGAAAGGAAGCATTTTTACCGACAGAAACTATGCACCAGCATTCTCCGATAAAGCTGAATCCTACTAATATTATAAACGCAAAACTTTGGATTTACTTTTTTTTTTTGGTGTAGATTGTGGTTTGGAATAACACGTAGTCTACTATTATTCCTCGGAACCGCGGGCGTAGGCCGTGGCTAGCAGAAGCCAGTATTTTATTGCGACTTCCAAATCTTGCTAACAAGCATGGAGATTATGATAAGCTCTCACAACAATATGTGGAAGATACTGAATTAAAGCATTTTGTTTCACAGTTCAAATTCTATTTCCTCATGAAAGCAGTATGGAACGTTCTAGAAGACGACAAGTATGGATCGTTAGTGCCACACTACAAATGGTCCTGGTTTATCATGTTGATTCCACTCTTCGTTGGAGTACTAGTTGTTTTGTACAAGTATTTGATAAAACGACATATGGTATGTATTCTTTCCCCTATGATAATCCCTAAACTCCCGTAAGCATTAGCAGCTGACGTGGTGATCCGTCTTCCACTAAAGTGTGCGGGTTTCCATAGTGATTATATTAGGATTGAATATTAAATTGGTAAAGCGGTCAACTACGCGGGCGGCCAACCGGGCGGTTGTCCGCTAGTGCGTAAAGGGCTAAGTTCTGTTAAATGATTAGCATCGCATTTTTTTATGATATAAATGGGCAAATAACACATGTCACTCGATGGTTGCATCATAAGCAATTAATAGACGCTCATAGACAACTGCAACCCCAGAGCACTTTTGAGGGGTCGCCGACCACTTACGGGGAAAGGATTGGTAAATATTCCCTGTTTTCTCTTGTTTTAGGATATTCATTATAAATTAATGAGCATAGGTCTAGTCATATAATCAGCAGCTGTAGCCAATTGCCATTTAGCGCTTGTCTACATGTAGAATAGAAAAACAAATTATATGAAATTGACGTAAATTTTGACATTTGTTAGTGTCATCCCTATATATTTAGTTTTCTACTCTCTCTGTAGATAAGCGCTAAAGTGGCGTTTCGCTAAAGGCACTGGAGATCAATTGATCTACTTCTTCCTCTTTCAGACATGGCAATTTATGTTTCGGCCGATGCCCAAATGGGGACCCAAGGAGTTTTCTGAAAGACAACTTAGGAAGCAGTTCAGTTCCAGATATGTTAGTACTATCATAATATTATTGCAGACATACAATCAATTGTAATATTTTAATTTTATACTGTATTGTTGAGACATGAGTGAAACAGATAAATATATAATTCAATTTGGTATTCGTGTTGTTGACAGCTTTAGGCCAGTTACATGTTCGTGTAATGTACAAAAGCACCATTCTAATTTTAAAATTCCTAACCCCCAAAAGACCGGCAATGCTCTTATAATACCTCTAGTGTTTCGATTGTTTTCCATCAGGTGATTCGTCGGCTCCTTTACCAACTTATTATTATTTATTTATTTTTTAGCCATGATCGTTCCACTGCAGGGCAAAGGCCTCCCTACCCTCCTTCCACTCCTCTCTATATAAAGCTTTTTGCGGCCAATCCTTGTCATAGATATCTAATTCGTTTACCAACTTATCCTATAAAAATACACCTTAATGAAGAAAGTACATTTAAGTATAATTAATTACATCATTATATATAACATAGGCTACTCCATCGGTGTCATTCTATCTTTTAAACGCTACTGCAGCCTATGAAACTTTTTCAATAGAATTTTAACCTCATTTTATGGTAATAGAGTCTAATTCTTATTTTTTAGTACATCAGTTCAGAAGTGCCAAGATTATTAAGTCGTTACCTAATGACGAAGAGGGAATCCAAAGTGTATAAGGTGGATGTTCGCTATGATGTCCAGAGGAGGTCCACAGTCACCAAGGCTGTAGGGTTTGGAGCTATTAATGGTGATAAAAAGAAAATTTAATTTTTAATTATCTTGCTTGCATGAACTGTTAGGTGATTTTTTAGTCATAATTCAATTAATTTTATAATAATAATTATATAAGTTTTCATTAGAAATATTTATTTGTAAACTAATTTAGTTTTGAGTAATGCAAAGAATATAAATACAATGCTACTATTTTGTTTCTTTAATTTTTTTGTACAAGAAGTAAGTACAGAATCTCATGAGTTTTTTTTTATAGCATAAGCCGGTAAACGAGCAGACGGATCACCTGATGGTAAGCAATCGGCGTCGCCCATGGACATCTGGAACATCAGAGGCGTTACAAGTGCGTTACCGGCCTTTTGAGGATTAGGAGTTTGAGGATCGTTGGGGATTCAAGAATTGGGGGGATTGGGGAAGGGGAGGATAATTGGGCCTCCGGTAACCTCACTCATACGACGAAACACAACGCAAGCGTTGCTTCACGTCGGTTTTCTGTGAGGCCGTGGTATCACTCCGGTCGAGCCGGCCCATTCGTGCCGAAGCATGGCTCTCCCACACTTAATATCGCTGCCTTCTAAATAAATTCTCAGTCGTAACTCAGAGTACAGTTCAAAACAAACACACATTTTACACTAAAATTATTCTGTTTTATATTAAACATTTCAGAACATACCTTAATAATAACATTTAAAGTTTAAATTAAAAATTAAAGCAATCATCACCTTCCCACCTAATTCATATTAATGCATACAGAATTTTCACAAGCTCATTCAGGAAATATAAATATTTAGTAGGACCCACCCCACGTGTCGAATGCAAATAAATTCAATTCGGTACAATCGCATTGATACCAATACAATACCAACAATTAAATCTGTTCATTGTGAAATGTGTTGTACAAATGTGTGTTGTATTGTTTACTATTAATGTAAGCTTCAATAGGGTAGTTTCCTAAATTTTATTTTAACTCGTCGAGTACCGGTTTTGTAGATACAATTATAGAACAATAGGTTGCGGTCACCGGTGACCGCTTGGTGTTTGACAGTTTAATGTCCGTCTAGTAGATTTATTTAAATCATTAGATATTTTTTTTTCTTTTCTCAAAACTTAAATACTTTCGACAATATTGTGCACGACAGTAATGCTAGGTCGCGAGCCGTCCACAACGTGTTCCGAACTAGTCCGACCCATGTATAAAACCAACCACTATAATAGTAGGTAACCATGTATAAAAGGCAAGTTTTTTTACAGCATAAGCCGGTAAACGGATCACCTGATGGTAAATAATCGGCGCCGCCCATGGACACTCGAAACACCAAGGCGTTACAAGTGCGTTACCGGCCTTTTGGGAATTGGAAATTTGAGGATTGTGGAGGATTCGGGGATTCGAGAGACGGGGACTAGGGAGGAGGTAATTGGGCCTCCGGTAACCTCACTCACACGACGAAACACAACGCAAGCGTTGTTTCATGCCGGTTTTCTGTGAGGCAGTGGTATTACTCCGGTCGAGCCGGTCCATTCGTGCCGAAGCATGGCTCTCCCACAAGTTTAGACCCTAAAAACCACCCCGTTCCTACTCCTGCACTTCGAGCCGAAACCCCGGAAAACCGTTAAGTCTTCCGCAGCTCTATATCGGCATCAGCCCTGTTGGGCCCCATCTGTGGTGGTCTAGTGTGAGGTAACGTTTTTTTAAATAAATCCTTAAATAATTGCCCTAATGTTAAGCTTAATAAAATACCATTTACCATACAAATGTGTAACAAAATCACAATTATAAGATACACAGGTATTCATAAATGTTCAGTGTTATTGTGAAGTACATACACTAACTTAATTGCCGACTGCGAAGTGAGATACAGTTGTTATTTTAGCTTTTAGAACGAGAACGATGAACACTTCTACTGTGGAAATGTTTATAAGTACTCCTAGCCAGTATGAGGGCCTGGTACTTTTTATTTATATTTTGTTTAAACGGCGTGAAATTATGTTTGGTATAATTATCATTCGATGCGATTTTTCGGAACGACGTTCTTACTACGAGTGATTGATTTAGTTTCTCTAGTCCTATTTTTAACCGACTTCAAAAATTAAGGTTCTCATTATTACCTGCATATATGTAGAGGTATGTACTGCCTCGTTGGCCGAGTGCTCGCAAATGCGACTGCCAAGCAAGGGGTTTCGGGTTCGATTCCCGGGTCGGGCAAAGTATTACTATGTTTTTAATAATTCTTAGTAGTAGCGCGGAGTCTGGAATTGTGGCCGGTATATGGCAATAGTCACACCCCCTATTATATGGGACTCATAATATAAATAGTGAAAAGTGGGTGTTACATTGTACAGTGGCATAATGTGCACCTCTGCCTACCCCTTCGGGGATAAAAGGCGTGATGTTATGTTATGTATGTATGTATGTTTGTGCGCGACTATCTTACCATTGGCGGAACCAATTTGATGCGATTTTTCAAGTTTGATTTGATACGTTAAAAGTGTTTGTTACGCGTAGGAGAAGATTTCAATAATCATTAGATAACCGACTTCGAAAAGAGAGGGGGTTGAAGTCGGTTTTGATAAACGAAAAAAACCAAAACTTATGCTTATTATATTAAAAATCGATACATATCGTAATTTTTGTCTAATCCAGGGCACGACAGTTACCCTTGGACAGCGACCAACGAGGCGAAATATTACAAAAATTACAATGCTAAATAAAAAAAAATGTAACTCCAATGCACTAAACGTCTCCGGACCGCCCAAACAGTTGACCTCAAAATCCCAATCTGCGTCGTTCCATCTAAAGGCGTTACATAAACAGTAAAACTCTGATTTCGCAATAAAAAGCACGTAAAGACGAGATTTGTGATGTTCTGTGAATCTTCGTAATTACCCTCATGTAATGGCATACACTGAAAGAATTACACATCAGGGATAAGGACTAAAAGAATTATGGGGACCGAGCAAAAACTTCTTCTGCATATATATTAGTTTTTGTTTTCTATCGCGATATTGTGCGCTATTTACATTTTATTAATGAGCAGATGATTTTTTTGTTTAATCTTTTATCTACAATGTAAGACACAATAGAAAACATATTAGACTGCTTCGTTGGTAGAGTGGTCGCATGTGCAAGGAGCCTCGGGTTCGATTCCCGAGCCGGGCCAAATATTAGTGCGTTTTAAAAAAAATTTTCAAGAGTCAAGAATTGTGTCCGGTAAATGGCAATAGGCTCACCCCCTATTACATGGGACTAATAATTTTTCACACCCACTTTTTAATTATTGATGTTATACAGTTGCATTAAGTGCCGTCATGTGCACTTCTGCAGACCCAGAGGGGTCTGGGTTCAAAGGCGAGATATTATGTTATGTTATGTAAAAAACATATCGTGCCTCGCGTTCCAGCATATCATGGGTTAAAAGAAAATAAAATTCATTATGCAATGGTTGACAAGAGTTTAGTTTCTTGCCTGTTCGTCCATAGGTACCTATGATACTATAAAACGAGAAAATAACCTTATTACGGAACTAAGCGATAGACCTTCAATATTTTGTTTATGTTTCAAAACTAAAAGTGATTTAAATTTGGTTTAAAATGGAAAAGTGGCATGAGCTCCTTACAAGTTTCGCAGGTTTGATTTCAACGAGGATTTGTCGATTACTGAGATAATAAAAGTATTTTACGTAGAATTCCGGTTGTTGAATACTGAGATTGTTATTTCTAGGTATTTCACATGCACGACCTGCCTGCGTGTCTTGAGTTCGAACATTGGGTTATTCGATTTTGAAATTGAAGGAAACAATTGGACTGACTTCGATAGGTATATTCACAGATTCAGTTCCATTGCAGGTAACAAAAGCACCGATTGCCAATTAGTGAGCTCCTCGTTCTTTAAACTGTCAAACACCAAGCGGTCACCGGTGACCGCAACCTATTGTTCTTTAAACTGTCAAATACCAAGCGGTCACCGGTGACCGCAACCTATTGTTCTATAATTGTGTCTGCAAAACCGGTACTCGACGAGTTAATTGTGTCTATAATGACGGTGCTCGACGAGTTAAGCCTGTTCTAATTTCTTTTATTCCGAAAATCTTTTTTAATGAATAAATAGGCAACAAAAGGATCGTCGATTCGTTGTGGTGGCCCGAGACCTCATGGAGGCCGGAATTGGCATGAGGGCCCGTAATCTACGTGAGGGCTCGAAGCCTATATACCAACGGCAAGTACATTTACGTACGTACTTACTTGTCCGTGTGAGAAGAGGTCTTCGGTCAGCAGTGGCCACAAATAGGCTGATGATGTTATGTGAGGCAGCATTACTACATACGTATGTATATTAAACCAGTATCACTAAAGAAGAAGAAAAACAAGGTCAGGTCGAGATCTCTTCGTAAAATAATTCTAAATTACGCAGTCAGAAGACGTAACCGTTTTTAGGTCACACAATAAAATCTGTTACCGTGTCTTAGTGGCCAGGCTAACTGCCCAAAGACCATTAAGTTTCATTTGCAAGTATTACTGTGTCCTATATCTACCAAGGGCAAAGTAAAAAACGTTCTTCTCACATTTGTGTCAAAGATTTGTGTTTATTTTTATATTTATTGTGGTTTTCTAGGTGTAATTACGTAATTCTTGGTCGCAACCGCGTCTCTTGTTCAACGACTGGATGTGGTACAAGTAGTAGAGGTTTATAAAGACTTTTGTTTTGAAGATCGATGATTTTTAAAGAAGCATACTTAATGATTTTTAGGTATTTTTGCTAGCAATAAAAAAACTACGTTTTGCCAGTAAAGAGGTGGGTATTCTAATAAGTGAGTCTAACTGAAAGCATCATTGTATACAAATTATTCATGAACGTGAATATTATGTATGATTAATAAAATTGTACATAATAATAATATCTTATCATGTACCTTCGAGGAGCCTGTCGATGCAGGTTGTTTTCAAGGGATGTTCTGGAATTCTGTTGGGGAAGTTTGGTTTTTTTGCCGATATAGCAAAGCTCTTGATACTAAAATAATAAAAATCAAAACCGCTTGTAG